CAGCCACTGTGATGTCATACATAGTGTAATGTGCAGGAGCTGTGATGTCATACATACACCAGGCTGAACTGCACTGAACTCCACAGGGGCTGTAATGTCACACCCCACACACTGTACTCTAACATTATAGACTGGAGGGTGTAAATAACTGAAAACAGGAGGGGTAAAATTACATCAGGGTCCTGATAAAGGCTTGCCAAATTCTAAAATGATGTTAACTGCACACGCCCTGTGGTGAAGGAATACCAGGTGGAACCAATTCAATACAACATGAGGTCTCCATGGCACAAGGAGGTAACGGGGTAAAAAGCAGGGCAGCCAACTCGCAACACAAACAGTACATTGACAAGCGCACAATCACTCAGTGAGCAGAGCGTGAGATAGGGATCTGTGCGTGCCAGGGCCCTGCCTCTCACAGAGCCAGGATGCTCAGCCAGTACCCAGGCTCCCCTCAAGAAACGGCTGGATCCTCCTGACCTCTGACCCCTTCCTGACGTTCTTACGTAACAGCGTGCTGTATACTGTTACACCACAGGAGGAGCCGAGCAGGGGAAGTGTGGTCATTCTTGTGGTTCGCAGCACCTCTGGGATCTAGGGGCTGGTGAAAGATTACAGGCCCCACTGAAACCGCTCTTACAACACGGTCTAACAGTTCAACTGTTGCACCCCTCCAAGGCCCAGGAACAAAGACTTCGCTTCAGGCCGCGATTGCCCTGCCAGTCCGCTCGGATCGATTCGAATGAACTCGCTGCTGCAACGTCTGGAGCTGGGCCACTGTAAACACTCTGGAGTACAGACTCCTGCCCACGGTCAAGCACGCAGCCTGGATCACACACACACACACATAGCTCAAGCACACAGCCTGGATCACACACACACATAGCTCAAGCACGCAGCCTGGATCACACACACACAGCTCAAGCACGCAGCCTGGATCACACACACACACATAGCTCAAGCACACAGCCTGGATCACACACACACACATAGCTCAAGCACGCAGCCTGGATCACACACACACACACAGCTCAAGCACGCAGCCTGGATCACACACACACACACGCACGCACGCACGCACGCACGCACGCACGCACACACACACACACAGCTCAAGCACACAGCATGTATCACACACACAGCTCAAGCACACAGCCTGTATCACACACACAGCTCAAGCACACAGCCTGTATCACACACACAGCTCACACACACAGCCTGTATCACACACACAGCTCACACACACAGCCTGTATCACACACACAGCTCACACACACAGCCTGTATCACACACACAGCTAACACACAAAGCTTGTATCACACACACAGCTCACAAACACAGCTTGTATCACACACACAGCTTACACACACAAGCTGATCCCAGCACCTGGCCTGTGTGCACTCACATTTCCATCCAGCACAGAGCCCAGTATAGGGCACAGGGCCTGTGTGCACTCACACCTCTGACAAGCACAGAGCACAGGGCCTGTGTGCACTCACACCTCTGCCCAGCACAGAGCACAGCACAGAGCACAGAGCCTGTTTGCAGTCACACCTCTGACAAGCACAGAGCACAGCACAGAGCACAGGGCCTGTGTGCACTCACACCTCTGCCCAGCACAGAGCACACAGCTTTAATACAGACAGACGACACAACAATACACAGCCATACGCACAACAGACACGCAACACAGCACGACACAGTGAGGCACGCAACGGACACGCAACATAACGAAGCACAACACCCCTTTCACACAGCACAACGCGCGCAGCTCCTGCGAAGCGGCTCAGCTGGCGACAGCGCTGTACTCACACGCCAGAGCTCCCCAGCCAAGCCGAGCAGCGGGTCTGGCGCTGTGTCGTGTGGCGCAATCCCGCAGTTAATTCATTACAACAATTTCAAACAGTTTGCCTCTGGAGCGGGGCTCTGCAGGGGGCTCAGACACTCGCGAGGCTGGCGCCGGGCCCAGGACAGAGGCTGCGGAGCGTGCCGTCCCCCTGCTGACCGCGGGGAGAGGAGGGCAGAGTGCAGCTGGCACAGGGGGGATGAGGGGGAGTGG